TCCCAGTGTCCAGCAACAAAAAAAAAAACAACCAAACCCCCCCCAACCACCACAAAACTCAAAACAAGTCACTGCTTCAACCTCAAAGAAAACAAAAGCACCCTAAGCATTACAAAACATGCCTACCTGTTGCCTCAGCCACCACTCCAGGGTCACAATCCTCCTAAGGCACCAAGACCACATGACAGCAGGCAACTCTGGAATGCTAGACCACCCCTGTAACACTAAACAGTAAACTCTGCAGAAAAGAGCCACCAAAGCCCCTCCACCATTACTTGTGGCACATCCCTCACTCCTCCAGAAGATCTGCCACACCTTCAGGCCTGAAACAAAAGCACCCAGAGGCAGCACATGCAGGTCAAGGACACAGCTCACCTCACTCCAGCCCCAGACCTGTAAGAAGACCTCCACAAACATCCTCTGAGGGGCCACCAGGGTAGGATGCACCTCTTGCAGCCATCACCCTGCAAAAAATAACAGAATCACAGAACCATAGGGATCAGAGAGGTCCCATTCCCTCAACCAGAGCAGGGGACTCAGCAGCCTATCCCACCACTCACACAGTGAAATTATTCTTCCTCCCATTCATATAGGAGTTCTGATCCGTGAATGCTGTCCAAATGAGCCAATCCCCATCAGCTAGACTCCTGCACAACAGATATTTAATAACAGTAGCAATCTTCTCCCTTGTCCAAGAAAAACCAGACAGTAACAACACATAAGGCTACCTTGTCAGTCTGGCATGATTTCCCCTCAGCAAATCCACCTTGAGTGCTCCTTAGAAGTTTCTTCTCTTTCTGTCACTTGGTGATGGTATCTAGAAGTTGTTCCATCATCTTCTTGGGGATGGAGTCAAGGCTAACCAGCCTACCTTTGCACAGGCCATCCTTCTCACCCCATCTGAAAGCTGCAGTGACGCTGGCCATCTTCCAAGTCCTCCAGCATCTTTCCTATAAGATCACAGGGAACATGACAGAGAGCCACTTGGCAATCGCTTCTGCCACAGTACTCACAGGCACGCCCCATTAGGGCCAGAGGCCTGCAGCCATCAACTTTACTTACATGATCTTTAACCAAGTCCTCTGCAAGCAAGAGGAAGTCACCCTTCCTCAAAGACTCTTTCCTCTGGTATTACCAAGGAGCAATCTCAGCAGCAGCCACTGGAAAAAAAAAAACACATCTGGTACCTCCTCTCCCTCTCTCACATCCCCCATTACCAGGGCCCCCACTTTATAAAGCAGAGGCCCACTTGTTCCCTAGTCTTCTGTTCGCTTTGAGAAACGCACAACTTTGTTAGCCCTGATCTCCCTCCCAAAGGCGTTATTAAGTGAGCCATAGACTTCCTCATCCCATCTTTACCTTCTCCCCTTTTCGTTTATCTGCAAGTTCCTCATTCACCCCTGAGGATCTGCCATTTCTGCTCAGCTTCTTACTCTTTGAAATGCAGAGGTAGTAACACTCCAGTGTTAACCACTGCTCACAGGACCCCTTCTGATGCTTTAGCAGGACATACCTCCACATAGGTCCTCTAAGAGGACTCAGTTCTCTTCCTGTAAGTCCTACTCCACATCTTCCACACAAAATCCTGAATTCTGTCACACAAGGCCACCCCAGTCTTCACTTCCTCAACAGGGAGAGCAAACTCCAGAGGCGCTCCTCCATCACCCGTGTCCAAAGTTCTTCCTTCAGCACATTGCAGGAGCCTCCTGGAACGAGAACAGCTGGCACGGTGGCTTGAATTTAACTTGAGAAGAAATGCCCACAGCTGCGAGGCTACTTTCAGCTGTGTGCAGAAGGTCTCATCAACATCCCCACGCCGGTCTGTAACCAAAACCCCCAGTGATGTAACCCACATTTACCTGCTGTTTCAGCCTCGCACGCAACCGCTCCGCTTAGTTCTTCACTCCTCCCGAGGCGGGGCACAATACATTCCTGTTCTCTCACGGGAAGAGAGATGATGCTCCACCACCTCACCGCGCCGTCTTTCCTAAGAAAAGCGGAGGAATACACCGTCCCACCCCATTAGCACCCGCTAATAGGAGTGGGAGGGGCTGAGGCCGCCCCGGGGCCGTGCTCGGTCTCGGGCAGTTGAGCGGCAGCCCCGTGCCGGCCCTTCTAATGAGCCACGTGAAAGTGACCCTACACAGACCCCCCCAAAGAAAGAACTTACTTAGGGACTCCCGAACTCTCACCGGTTTGGACTGACGAGACGCTCCGCCGCAGCCCTCGCTGAGCCTGCAGTAAAAGAAAAACTTGCGTTTCGGCAGCGCTTCGCGCCGCTCCTTATTCCCGGCAGCACCGAGGCTGGAAGAATAGGGCTCCGTCCCGCTCGCTCCCGCCGATGACAGCAGGAAGAACTAAGGCACTCCCCTAGAGAACCTTGTGGGGGCTGAGAGCATCCCGGGGCTACGCCAGGATTCTGCCGGCCCGATCTGAAAAAGCGATGGGAGCCGGACAGCGACGTTTATTCCGACTGCAAAGGGAGCCCGGCAAGAGCTCCTGCGCCGGCCCCAAATAGAACAGGGCGACGGCCCGGCAGAGTCCTGCCGCAGACCGGGAGCCCGTAACGTCTCCCGAGAGCTCACCGTCTCCGCTGACCCATTACTATTAGAAGCGCTCCCCGGTTCGGGCTGATCCTTACCGCGAGAGCAGCAACCTGAAACCAGACAACAAACAGAGAACGTTAAATAGAACCTTAAATAGAACCCCAACGCTCCATTTAAAAAGCAGACCCTCACGCTGCTTTCCAACCCCCGTAGCGCTAGGACCGGAGAAACGAACGCAGCCCACTCCCAGAGGCAAAGGAGCCTCAGAAACCCCCCTCACTGCTCCCAGCGGCCTCCGGCGGAGCTTAAAAGGCGTCGGGGCGGGCCGTGCCCTGAGCTCCCGACGAGCCGCAGCTGTGCCCGGGCGGCCGCGGCACCTGGGAGTCGTTGCCTCGTTGGCGCAGCCGGACCTCGTTAGGGCCCCGACAGTGAGCCACGTGGACTCTAGATCTGAATAAAGGGCTTAGATTACTCTTTAAACTGAAGTTTGTAACGTGCTTTCCCTCCGCTTTCCCTCGCCCCTCAGACGTGATAGGTGCTTTCCTTCACCCCCCCGACGCTTGCAGTCGTTGTCATTTGTGCGACAACGAATGTGTATGTGTTAATCGGCATGTAATATCCTCTGTTGTCTACAGGTTTTACTGATGCGCAAAATATAAATGGATTACGGAGGGCATAATACAAACCGATAAACTATTTCAGAGAAATGTCCAAGCAAGTGATCTAAATACAGATGCCATTTTTCACCACGTTTTACAATTCAAATAGGCATTAACAACAGATCCCTGGCCTAGTTCATTCATAACTTCAAGGTAGGTTAGCATCATCGATGCACAGAGGTTCCCTAAAAGTCCAGGAATAAATCCCTTGTGAGCCCTGTGAGCCCGATTCCTTGCTCTTTGAGGTCAACTGGATATTTTTCTTTGAGTTCAGCACAAAGGAGAGCAATTAGTAAAAACAAAAATTAGTAAAACTCTAAGCAGCTCCTGAGTGAAACAAATAAATATATTTTTAGAACTTCAGCGTGGCTACTTGGAATGAGGAAACACTTCTGGCAAAAACCTGTGCTCAGTAATTTGTGCTCTGCTGTGAGAGAAAACAACATGGGAGGTTCGGTGAAGTAATTTCAGGTAGCATGTGGGCATAATAGCGTGCGCAGAAGGGACGTCGGCGCCTCCTCAGCATGGTTTTGGGCCAGAAAATTAGAGCTGCCAGCTCTGATTTTGGCTGTTTGAAAGGCTTCCGTCACCTGTAGAACTCTTGTGAGTCTTGAACGCCTGAGCCAACGTCTAAGCAACTTTTATTTTATTATATTTTATTTTTCCCCACGCAGTAATTCTTTGTTAAAGTAAGACTAGCTAAAACATCACCGAGTGCAATTCAGAGGAATCAGCCGTGGTGGCTTATAGCCAGTTAATGACAAATTTTTATAATTCAGAAAGGCGAAGGTAATTCACAAGCAAATGGGAATTCCTTCACAGGGATGTGTGTGTGTTTGTAAGCTTTGTTTGCCTACCCTTTATCTTTCTTTCATGAAAAAAAAAAATGGTGGAAAAATGGATTGCAGTGTATCAACCCAGTCTTGTTTTTAATTTCTACAAAATATCAAAAGAAAAGTTAGACGCCCTAATTGTGATAATTCAGACCCAATAGATCCTTTTTATGCATCACGTAAGACAATTTATTGAGTTTCCATTGATCCTGTTTTAACTTAAATTACAAATCATCTGGAGTTCTGCAATGGAACGAGTTGTGCATTCCGGACTTCTCACCTCAAGAGCAGTTCAGTAAAATACACAATTTGGCGGTACTGTTAGATGCAGGACGTTTAGACCATTGATATTTGTTTATTTAGGACCAAGTTTTAACATTCAGCTATTTGTATCTCACATTGACTCCAGCCAAGACTTTTCACCAGCGCGTGATTTCTTACATTTGCTATTCCACCAGTTAGTCGTTTCAAGCAATTCAATCCAATGATATACCACTATTTCTATACAATGGATGAACTTCAACAAAGGATATAGCAGAGTTGTTTTATTTATTTTTTTTTAAATAGATGGCTCAACAAAATATGGGATAATGTGACAACATGACAAAATGTTAGACAGCTGCAGGAAGCATGGTGTTTGTAAACAAAGCAAAACACAACAAAGAAAAGCATAGATGAATAGGTGACAAGGGTGGCTCCAGAAAATACTTCTATTATGTGAAACTCTGGCCCGTTTGGAGGGAAAATAGAGACAAAAACGACCCCAATATAAACATGGTGTTTAGAATAGAGCTCCTCAACTCCCCCCTTCATTTCCCTTTGAAATTCAGTACGTGATAGTAACTTGATAGTTTTGTTTGTTCCGATAGGGAGTATTCATCAGATGGGGGCTGGAGTTTTGAATAAGAGATATACGTATGTATCTGAGCGGCTTGAATCACCTTTCTCAAAATAGACAAGATTAGCAGGGAGACTTAAATCCAGAGGAATAACTCTGAGGCGTTCTTTCTAAATTCTCATTCCAATGCTTCGTCGCTGTCTCACTGGATTTTTTACTTATTTTAAGACTTTGTACTTTGAATTTTAATTTTGGTATAGAACAAAAAATTGCATAAACCCTGAGCGTACTTTACTGGCACTGACAATCTGCTCGTGAAATGTTTGTTCGTCAGGGCGTTCTTCACGAGGATTTGACGCTGCGGTGGAGTTTCCCCAGTTGAAGTTGCTTTGTATTTCAGCAGTCACGTAATCAGAAAACCCAGATTCTTGGTAACGCTGGAATAATATTTCCTGTACTAAGGAAAGCCTTACTAGGAATTTCAGAGCTGTGGTGTTCTGATAACTGACTGGTTGAAGGATGGGAAGGATTTGGGAGGTTTAGCTGTACGCATTGACATACTGAAGCCAATTTTTATGCAGATTTAAAAATGCAGCAGCTTTTCCTAATGAAGGATACGGTGTTAAACTGTATCCACAAAGAATTGTTCTGCCTTAACATAATACTAGTGTACAAAAAATGAGATGGACTTCTTCTCCGCCCTTTGCGCTTTTGTGCTTTGAAGGAAATGTGGCTGCACGTGCTAGAAACAATGAACAAAACTTTAGTAGTGATATTCTTTGTTCTGCTCTTAAGGTCTACACATAGTAACTTTGAAAAACTGCATTTAGTTTTTAAGGTACAATCTTTCCATTATGCTCTCTACACCAAAAGCTTCTGTGACACCGTGAGTCACGGATGTATGTGTATCAGGAAATAGAAGGGAATGGGAAAAGACGATCAATGCCACTTCTCAATTGTGAAAAATGTGAACAGTTTTATCTTTTCCTCTGAACAGAACACGGAAACACAAAGCCCTCTGGGGTATGTAGTTCTTCTTAGAACCAGGTACCCAGGTATATTGACAATCCATGGAACTGGAGCATTAACTTTTTAGCTCCCGGCGCACTACAGGATGTTAAGATGTGGGCTACCAATAATCAAAAATCATAAAACCATGATAAATGATGATAGATTTGGATTTTGTTTACAGGCTCTGAAAGGAAAAGCATTCCAAAGGCAAGTGTAGAATTCAGGTGCGTGTACCTGAAACTGCAGTACTGAAAACTCCCTCAGCTACCATGGAAATACACGTTGCCTTCACTATGCTTGTTTTGCTTTAAAGCCGCCTACTCTAGATCCAGTTGCCCAGTTTTGAGAAGGCGAAGTTATGTTAGTATTTCAGTCAGAAGTAGAGAAATTGAATGCTTGTACACCTGAGACCCCTCAGGACTTGATTCTACAGCTGTTTCCAATGCAGACTGGAACGCACAATAGCTGCTGTCTATTCATCTGGTTTTGGCCAAGCTGCTCACTCTGGAAACTTTTTTTATTTATAATTTATATTATATTATATTATATTATATTATATTATATTATATTATATTATATTATATTATATTATATTATTATTATTATATTATATTATTATTGAGTTCTGACCTATGGTCAGATTGGAAAAGAATGGAAAAGAATGGAAAGATTGACCTATGGTAGGTGTTCTCACTCACTGCCCAGAGCTGTTAACAGGTTCTAGGGAAACTCCTGGTAAAAGCAGTGTTAGATCAGACGTGATTTTGTTTTTATTTGTCCTTTACTTGAGCCGTTTGTCTGAAACCCAGTTGTTATACTAAGAGCTTTGTTTTGCTTGCTAGAAGGCTATCGGACCGGGTAGCTTCTTATACGCGAATGTGGGTTGCCCTCTAGTGACCGAAATAGATTACTTAGAGCTGCACTGTAAGAAGTGCATCGTAACAGCTAAAAAAATACTGAAGCACAGGACTTCAGTATATGAAACTCTGGCCCGTTTGGAGGGAATACATGAATGTTGGCCAGAGCAGAGCCACGAAGATGATCAGGGGACTGGAGCACCCCCTCTATGAAGACAGGCTGAGGGAGCTGGGCTTGTTCAGCCTGGAGAAAAGAAGGCTGCGGGGTGACCTCATTGCAGCCTTCCAGTACCTAAAGGGAGCCTACAAACAGGAGGGGAGTCAACTCTTTGAAAGGGCAGATAACTGCAGGACGAGGGGAAATGGTTTTTAGTTGAGGGAAGGAAGATTTAGGTCAGATGTCAGGGCGAATTTGTTTACAGAGAGAGCAGTGAGGTACTGGAGCAGGCTGCCCAGAGAGGCTGTGGATGCCCCGTCCCTGGAGGTGTTCAAGGCCAGATTGGATGGGGCCCTGGGCAGCCTGGCCTGGCATTAAATGTGGAGGTTGGTGGCCCTACATGTGGCAGGGGAGCTGGAGACTCGTGATCCCTGAGGTCCCTTCCAACCCTGGCCATTCTGAGGGTTGCCATGTTATAAATTAGTTATAGCAGTCCTGGAGCATGGCTGTCTTCAAGTGCAAAGGAAACAAATGCATTTCAGTTTAGGTAATGACTTGCTTTATCAATTTCAGATTGACTGAAAATACATAAAGTGTATCAGCGTGATTTGCTAGAGAATCTGAAATCCACAGCTGAGCGTTGCTAATTCCAGTTCAGAACCTCGGTGACTTCTTCAGCTGCAACGTGCAGAAAGTGGTAGGTGCGTGGCCAGGTACAGCCCAGAGAGTGGGGGAGTGGTTGTCTGGCTGATTCCCCCTCTTCTTGTACAGATTCAAGGTCCTGGTACATACAGACAGATATTAAGACCGGAGTATTCGGTAGTTGCAGTAACCGTTATACATTACCACTAGAAAGAAACAGGCTCTTTTAGAACAGTTTACCTGAGCTACTTCAGAAAGCTGCGTTAAAAATTAATCTTAACACCAAGTATGTATTTCTCCTATCAGTTTTAGCACACATATTTGGCAACACAGCATCTTCCTGTTTATAGTAAGTAAGTGTGCGTTACGGGTATCTGGGCTTTGTTTTCCTAAAAGTGACAGCAGGCCTAGAGTGGTACAATCACACTATCTACACAACTTGAACAAAGGAGAACTCACACACATCCAATGGCAAAATAAGTCTCAACTATCACATTGTCCTCTACTAACATTAGAATTAGCACCTTTAGCCTTTAAACGCAGAGCCAACGCAGACACGCCGGTCCTGTTGCAGGACAATGGAGTGGCAATGGAGGGTGACAAACATTCAGCATTATTACACTGGACTGTAAGGACAAAGCTGTCAACAACCAAAAAGACACTCTCCTAACTGGCACACTGTAACAGGCCAGTTCTGGAAAGCACAAAGAGGGACTCTGCAAACAGTATTTTGTTTACTGCTGGGAGCTTGACAGGATTGCCGTTTCTGCTGTGCACTGTAGTCAAAACATTTCTTTTGTTGAAACACAGGAAACCTCCCACTGCTTCAGATTGCAAGGCAGCAGTGGAACCTTGACTGCACGATACAGCAGCACCGACAGTACAGAATTCCAGCCAGTTTCTGGGCTGCTTGTCTTTTAGGATGTGATTTCATCTGGAAGCAGGCTCTGAAATCTGGCTCTTGGCTCACCCTGTTATACAGACAGTTGGTTCACGTACTGCTTCTAATCAACATCTTTCCAGTAAGGTTGGTATATTGGGTTCATTTATTGGTGAGTGACTTACTTATAGAATTCAAATTAGAATGTTTTCAACAGAAGAAGAAGCTGTTGTTTCTTAAAAAAAAAACACGCTATGATATTGCTGCTTTTTAATGTTTTGAATATGCTGCTGTAAATGTGTCTTTATCTGTCGCAGAAACTCGGTGCTTGGAGAGATACTTCTTTTACTTACATATAGGTATATGAAACCTAAATATCCTATTTTGCTTTAAAAAAAAAAAAAACAAAACATTTCTAGTAAGGAAGGTCATGTAAGTGTTAGAATGGAATCCAAGGGGTAAGGGTTTCTTTCCAATGAATGATAGCTATTAGTTTGTCTCATTTCATTAAAAACTTTGGGCCTACGGACAGCGGTGGGAGACTCGTACAGATAAGGCTGTAAAACTGCAGTTGTTGGAAGGAGAATGCTAAACAAGAATTGGAACTGTCTTGTTAATGCCGCACTAGAAAAATAACGTATTACTTTTCAGATACCAGCAATGAATTTTCAAACACGTTGAAACAGATTTTCTTGTTTTAGAACAATATTACCGCTTTCCTGTATTGTACAGTAATTGCTTACCTCCCTTTGCAGGAATCCTCGTGTTTGGCCGGGTACCCAGCACTTGGGGAACACACATCTACTGCAAATATTTTGCTTTGTTTAACTTCTACTTGAAAGAAAGCTGATGCTACGGAACTTCAGTTTGCGAAGATAAGG